GGGGTCCCCACTCCGTGTGACTCAGGGAATGTAAAAAGCAAGGCGAAACGTGCCGAAATCCTCTCTGCCCTCAGCCTTTGGAGAGCACCCTCCTCCCTTGGTGCACAGCAGCGCGAGTCCCTTTCCAGGAAATGGCTTGGGAATGATTTCTGCGTCTTGAGCCCTCTCCGGCGGCTGTTCGGTTCGCTGAGTTATTTTTAGTGCCTTCTGCTGTCTCCTTCGTGTGCGCCTGTGCGTGTGTGTGGATGTGGATCTTGGCTCATCCGTGTCTGAGGAGCTCGGCTCTGAAGCAGTTGTCAGTGCTTACTCTAGGAATGTAGCCAGGACAGTATGTACAACTGGAACAACTTTAAAAGAAGGGAAAATATCCCCCAAAACTTGGTTGGAAAAGCTTGTTCTATAATTTTATTGCTAGAGCACAGAGCACGGAGATGTCCTGATTGTAGTTCAGCAAAATCCAAGCAATCCCTCTCCCAGCCAGCACGGAGCAGCCGTACACAGAGGCAGTCCTGCCACCTCTCCTGCCTTCTCTTCATGTTTAACTTTTCCCAGCACCCTTGTCACCCCTCCCTGGTGCTGGCTTAGGGGTCACACAGCTGCAGAGGACACTGGTCTATGTCCAAACCAGCCAGGTTTTTACGTTCTTAAAGCCATTTCACAATGCAGCCTCACAAACACAGCGAACTCTGACTGCAGTGCTAGCTTGTGCTGACTGAACAGGTCCATGAAACCAAAGTTTATGAAGGTCCAAGGCTTCCCTCAGCTCTCCTCTGGAGGTGACTGCCTCTCCCTGTTAAGTATTTAAGAAATTTGGGCTTTGGCTGGTTGTGCTGACTGCTTGATGTGTCTTGCTTGGGCAGCTCTTTTACTGGGCATGGTGTTACAGGGGAGACAGGAAAGGTTAAATGGCTCAGACAAGCTGATGTAGGTAATGATGATTGAGTAAGAGGTCAAGGATTTAATGGCTCTGGCTGATTGTGTTTGGTTTGACTAGTGAGCTGGAGAATGGCACGGCCCTAGCAGCCCCAAAGGATGTGTTTCTGCAGTATGGCAGCTGCTGGGAGGCTGGTTTTGCTTGCTGCAAAGAATGGCTTTCCAAAGTCGTGGACAATTGGCTTCCTAGGGTGTTTTGTTCAGAAACACACACTTAGTGGCTTGAAAAAGAGCTTTATACTGATGTTGCAATGCTGACCTCTTGAGGCCTCGCTGCAGATGTTGCAGCAGAAAAGCCAAAGGTCCTGCTGCTGCCGTGTCACCTTGGGCTCAGATTCAAGGCCGTGGTGGCTGTGCTGCCTCTGGATGAATATTGCATTTTGCTTTAGGAGGCTGTCATTTCCCTCTCCTAAGGAAATGACTCTCCCTCTCCTCTCTTCATGGCAGCGTGTAGGTCTGCTGAATTCCTGTACTCATCTTTTCTAACAGCAGTTCAGTGGGCTGATCCTCAGTTGTACTAACGCTGCATTACATATGTAAAGGATAAGGGTCCCCAGCTTCAGGCATTCTAGACCCAAAATTTCAGTTTGTGCAGGGAGAAAATACTTGATGAGAAATGACTGTGACTTCTCCCTGTGTTCTGAAAGCAAAATGCCCAACTTTTCCCTATTGACTGCAGCAGTTCTGCAGTTGTCAGTTGTGCTCAGAATTTAAAAGCATCAGCCATTACCTCCAGTACTTGTCAAAGCACAGCATTTAGGGTAGTTGTATTTACCGAACACAAGCAGGGCAGAGGTGCAGGGTCTCAGAGGTATTTAATTCTCTGAGTACCACTGGACTCAGTGAAACTGAGGCACTTGGACACGTTTGCAGCGTTAGCTTGTACTAAACGAAATCTTACTGCTGAAAATTTCCTTGTGCCTGAGATTGTGAGGGAGTGAGGGGTCTTCCCCTTGCTATGTAAACACTGCCACATCCCAGAGCACTTCCCTCCAATCAGTGTTATGAGCTGTCCCATTATTGGTACTGTTCTGTCCCTCTCCTACCTGCCAGGCACCTTTGCCTTGACAGAGCATGAGCAGAAGCTCCCCTGCCCCTGGCAAGCGCGGTCTGTGCAGCATGGGGCACAGCAGAACCGCCTGAAGGACGCTGTGTCACACCAGCTCATCAGGCAAACGTCCCTGCGCTGCTCAGAGGTGCATAAGCCATGACAAGGAACAAGTTTCCAGCTACCTCTGAGAGAGCTCGGAGCAGCGGGTGGCAGACGGGGATGCCAGAGCCTTGCAGCAGCCTTCCTGCGCCGCTCGCCAGGGTGAATGAACCCTTTCCTTCCACATCGGCCTGAGTGGCATGAACTGGAATTCTGCTCGAGGGCCTGAAGTCTCCCCTGTGACCCCTCCTCCTCACGCTGGAGTGAATAAATTTTGACTGTGGCTTGCCAGGCTCTTCTGCGCTGGAAATGCTCCTTGCTTGTCTGCAGACAGATGCTGTGCTGTCAGCTCCAAGACCTGTGTGTTTGTTTGCCTCCTTCCTTCCTCCCTATCACCTTCCCTAAAACACAAGACAGCTTGAAAGGCGCAGCAATCTGCCAGACCTTTATGTGTGAGAAAACATCCTTTCCCTTCTTTCACAGAATCTGATGAATGTCATTAAGTACACGAGTGTAACAAGCTATCCCTGCAGGTAAAGGAGCATAAAGTTGCCATTGGTTCTGGAGCTGATAATTATGTGCTATTGGATGTATACTCTGAGGCCAGGCAGTGTGTTTGGAATGGCAATATTTTGTAATTCACATGGGTTTTTCACCCCATTGCCAAGGACTGGTAAACCCTAGACTTGAAGTGGATTTTCTTCCCCTAAAACTTCTGATTAGGCCAGAGCTCCCTGCGCTGCTTTTAGGTGCAGTTCTTTTTAGAGCAGTCACGTACGTAATCAGCACTGGTGAAGGCAGAGTAATCCTCTCCTTGGTCTTCTATAGCAGACATATCTGGTTTTGCTCCGTGCCAACCTCTTGGTGCTGACTAGCTGTCCAGATTAAGAGATGTACAACTTCCACATAGTTGGAAGCTGTCAGCATCCACTTCCAAGGAACCAGGGAACATTATACAAGAGCAAGAGGCAGTCAATGTGGGGATGCAATAATCCCTGGCTCTGTTGAAGAAGGGGAGGCAGTTTTCCCACCAGCCTATTGCCCTACCCATGTCTGGGAAGGAAATACCAGGATCTGCAGCACAGCCCTGTCATGTTTACACATCAAGGCTCTTTCTGGTGCAGTTCCCTCTCCCTGTGTGATCAGAAAGATAAGAAAGGTGAAAGGATGCAAGTGAAAGTGTTGTTGTGATAGGATTACTCTGGCTGAGCCCCTTAAATG